GGCCCAAGCCGTGTAGTCACGTGCGGAGGGCCGGATCCCGCAAGTATAGCGGCGGGCCAGCCGCGCATAGAAGAGCTCTGCATAGCTTATTAACATCATCCTACGGACGGCACCTACGCGCACGCCTCTGCCTACTCCGTGACAGTATAAGCTATCAATTAATAGATCTAATAGATGTCTCTCCGGAGAGGGCGCCTCCCCCTCGAGGAAGCACTCCGCCCCTCCCCGGACGGATAGGAAGTATCGCAGCTATCCTAGAAGCGATTAGAAGCGCGACGGCTAGCGAGAAGGACGAGGTTCTCGCTGCACTAGGGGAGCCGTCTGCGAGACCGGCTTTAACCCCTACGGCCTCCGCAACGCCGGTTACGGCGGCGACACCACCGACGAGGAAGCCGCTCCCTTAGCCGACTTAGGACGGCAAGCCGGAGTCCTTTTACTTCTTCCTTAGCCGGCTATAGACGAAGTTTATAACTAACGAGAAATAGGGCCTAAATGGCTATCGCGATATAGCGTGGTATTCGCTCCTCTATACGCTGCCGGAGCCCTAGATGCGGCGGATCTCCGGATTCTAGGATAAGGGCGGCCCTAGGGGCAGACGCGACCTATAAGACTTCTTCTAACACCTTATACATACGTTCGGCAACGTGCAGGAGCGGGAGAAGGCGTAAGATAGGCTGCGGACCCTTAAGCAGAGAGACGGACAAACCTTTAGCGAATTCCTTCCCGATTTCGAAGAGACGCTCTTATAGGCAGCGGGGACTACGGTGTGGGAAGATAGCGCGAAGCTCATATAGCTACGGAATTCGATCACGCCGGCCCTACGGGAGCTGCTTATCCCCGTGATTATGCCTACTAACTACGGCGAGTACGTGAGCCGGTTAATAAAGGTGGCTTAGGGCTACGAGCAGACGCCGCGTTTCTAGAAGCTCCGTAAGCGCACGCCGTATAGCGGCGACGGGATCACCGCCCCTCCGTAAGATGAACAACCGGCTGTCGACACGGACGGGGACACCCTAATGTCGGCTACCCGCACGGACCGGGCCAGACGCGGCAAGAAGACGCCGTCGACCACCCCCTATACCGCCCCGCACTCTAAGTAGCGGGCGAAGTAAGTAACGAGCGAGGAAATCGGGAAGAGGAAGGCTAACGGCCGCTGCCTACGTTGCGGAGCATCTACGCACTTTATATTAAAATGCCCCTTCCTTTTAGCTAAGCGGCCCGTGGCGGTTTAAGTAGCGAAGATAGAACCGCTCCTCGCCTTAGACGATAAGGAGGACTCCGCCCCCCTAGGCCCGGAGGAAAAAGAGTAGCTCCGGAGCAAAGACGGGCTCCGGAGCCCTAATTACTAGCACCAGCAAAGGAGAAGGAAGAATTGTCCGCCCGTATAGAAGAGGAGCCTACTTTAATATAGGTTATAATTAATAACTCCTTGCCTATTGCCGCCCTTATAGACGAGGGCTGCTAGTGCTACGCCGCAGTTAACGAGGCGCTTACGCGAGAGATATAAGTGCTAGTAGAAAAGATCGCCCTAAGGCGAGTAAAGGGCGCCTTAAGCGCGATAGAGGGTGCGGTGATTAGGGGCATTACGTGGCTGGCTATAGAGGTCGACGGTTGCCATAAGCTTATCGTGGCCTATATAATCCCCTAACTAGAGTTTCCCCTAATCCTCGGGAAACCCTGGTTATTATATATAGAGTTATACTCGGTTCCGCACCGGAGGAAGCTATAGTTTAGGCCTACGCAACGGTAGGTCCGCTACGACGACGGTTCCGTAGGCGTGGGACTAGGCGTGCGAGCTTTATGCTCGGCATAAGAAGTCCTTGCCTCTATCTTCGTAGGAACCGTGCGACGGGTAGAGCGGGGGCAAGGCCGGGCAGCGGCTGACGTAGCGGTCTGCGTAGTTAGCCTAGTAGACATCGATAAGGCCCTCCGGACGAAGAAGCCGAAGTCGCCCTCTAAGCTACGGCAATAGATACCGGAGCGCTTTCACGACCTCCTACCGCTATTCGAGTCCTAGGAAGCAGACAAGCTTAACCCGCATAAGCCGGGGGTAGACCATAGGATCGTACTCCGCACCGATAAGAAGGGGCAGGAACTACCCGCACCGTTCGGACCGCTATATAGCATATCACACGCGGAGCTGCTAGTGCTAAAGAAGACGCTAAGGGACCTCCTAGATAAGGGTTTTATTTAAGCAAGCAGCTCCGAAGCAGGAGCGCCGGTCCTATTCGTGCGTAAACTAGGGGGCGGGATACGGTTCTATTACGACTATAGGGCCCTAAACGCAATTATAAGGCCGGACCGCTACCCCTTGCCCCTAATCTTAGATACGCTCCGTAACCTTTCGAAGGCGAAGTAGTTCACGAAGCTAGATATAAAACAAGCGTTCTATAAGGTGCGGATCTCGGAGGGTAACGAGTAGAAGACGGCGTTCCGTATACGCTACGGCTTATTCGAGTAGCTTATGACGCCCTTCGGCCTCTTAGGAGCGCCCGCCACCTTCTAGCGTTATATCAATAACGTGCTTCGGGACTTCCTCGACGAGTTCGCCTCCGTATACGTAGATAATATCCTTATCTATACGAGCGGCTCCTACGAGGACTATATACGGAAAGTACGGAGGGTCCTAGAGCGCCTCTAACTTTATAGGCTCTACCTCGACCCGGATAAGTGCGAATTTGGGGTTAAGAGGGTTAAGTACCTAGGCTTTATTATCTACGTAGGCGCAGGCATATAGGCGGACCCCGCAAAGATCTAGGCGATTCGGGACTAGGCTGCCCTAACTACGTAGATAAGCGTACGGAGCTTCCTTAGGTTCGCGAACTATTATAGGATATTTATTAGGGGCTTCTCCCGTATTATAATGCCCCTAAACGAGATTACCGGGAAGCGGACCGCCTTTTGCTAGGGGCCCGCATAGGAAGGAGCGTTCCGCACGCTTAAGGACCTATTCTCTTAAGCCCCGGTGCTGCTCTAGTAGGACTTCGACCGGTCTACGTTAGTTAAAGCAGACTGCAGCGGCTAGGCACTTAGAGGAACGCTCTCCTAGGAGGTAGACGGGCGGAAGCAACCGGTGGCGTTCTACTCCCGTAAGCTAACCCTAGCGGAGCGGAATTACGCTATTCACGATAAGGAGATGCTAGCGATTATTAGCTGCCTCGAGCAATAGTAAGCGGAGCTCCGGAGCTATAAGAGCTTCGAGGTTCTTATAGACTATAGGAACCTCGAGTACTTTATAACTCGCTAGCACCTCTCGGAGCGGCAACGAGAGTGTTCTAAGATAAGGCCCTGCAACGCTTATAGGATAGGATGGCGGCTCTAGACCGCACCTACGAGGGCGTGCGCCGCGCCGTTAAGTCCGGCGCTCGACGCCTAGATCCGAAGCTAAAGCTAAAGGTGTAGGTGGCCGACTGCTATATCGACCCACGGGGGCATCTACGCTAGCGGGGGAGACTATAGGTACCGGGCGCACCGTATACCACGGAAGCTAAGGAGAAGGAGGGACCGCCGGAGCTAGACGAACGGAACGAGCTCCGAGGGAGGCTAGTCTAACTTATCTATAACTCTAGCGTCGTAGGTCACCTAGGCAGACAGGGCATAGCAGCAGGCCTTGCGAGGGACTTTTACTAGCCCCTCCTATAGCACTACGTTCGTCGCTTCCTCTATAACTACGATATCTATGGCCGCACGAAGATCTAGAGGGCGTAGCTTAAGGGGCTGCTTAAGCAGCTTCCGGTGCCCGACCGGTTCTATACGCATATATAGATAGACTTTATAACGGACCTCTTACTTATAGAGGGCGGCAACCGCTATATATAGGTAATTAAGGACCGACTTAGTAAGTCTATAGTATTAGAGCCGATGCCGTCTATAGATACGGAGTCCTACGCAGAGCGCTTCCTATAGTGCTAGGCCCGCTCGCATAGCTAGCCAGCCTCTATTATAAGCGATAGGGGATCGAATTAGACCAGCCGCTTTTAGCAGCACCTATGCTAGCTACTTTAGATCACGCAGCTACTTAGCACGGCATATCACCTATAGACCGATAGAGGGCCTAAGAGGGTTAACTAGGAGGCGCAGGCTTACCTGCGGGCTATCGTGGCCCGCAACTAAGTAGACTAGGACCGGTGGCTCCCCGCGGCCTAACTTACGTTAAATAGTAGACTATATACCTCTATTAGGATGGCCCCTTTCTTTGCAACGCATAGCTTCGAACCACCCTTACTAGTTCCCTTTGCCGTAGACGTGGCAGCGGAGCAGCATAGCAATACGTTACTAGAGGGCCGCGCCTCCGCGTTCGTACGAAAGCTATAGGAGACCACGGATTATTGCCAATCCGCGATGGCCGCCGCGGCGTAAGATTAGGAGCGGCACGCCAATAAGACTAGGGCCCTAGTAGATAGGTTCGCGGTAGGAGATAAGGTATAGCTAGACCTCCGTAACTATAGGTCGGCACGACTAAAGAAGAAGCTTAACTAGCTATACGCGAAGTTTACGGTACGGAGGGTTATTAGCCCGTAGGTTATAGAGCTCGATGGTCTCCTAACGGGGGTCTATAATAAGATTAACGTAGACCTCCTTCGCAGAGCCTCCTCTAACCCGCTGCCCGGATAAGAAGCAGCGGACGCCTAACTACCCGCAATCGAGGTAAAGGGAGAGGACGAGTTCGAGGTCGAAGAGATACGGGCCGCGCGCTAGAAAAAGGTCGGCAGGGGGAAACGCCGGGAGGTCCTCGTTAAGTAGCGCGGGTATCTCGACCTTACGTAGGAACCCGTACGTAAGTTTACGGGAACCGTAGCCCTTAATAAGTTCGAAGCCTTATTCGGAACGGTAGACGAGAACGACGGACCAGCGGACCACCGACAGCAGCCCGGGCTAGGACCACGAAGTAGGCATAGCGGAGGGGGCAGTTACGGCAACATAGGCAATATAAGCGCAATAGTACGGGCGGAGACAAAAATAGCGTTTATTACGGGGCGGAGCCCCTAGACTACCCGGGCCTATTCCTTATCGTTATTATTATTATTATCTTCGTTATCGTCGTCCTCGTCGGCCTCCTCCTTCTTATTAGCGGCGGCGGCGGTCTCTAGGGCGCTAAGGCGGCCCTCTAAGCCCGCAAGCCAGTCGGCGGCGGCGGCGGCTCCGGGGGCAGAGGGGCGGCGGCCAGCGGCGGCGGCAGGGGCAGCGGCGGTGGCGGAGGCGGGCACGGCTAAGGGGACCGCCGACAGGGCGACGGAGGCAGTATCCCTAGCGCCGGGTGCGTTAGAGGCGGAAACAGGGGAGCGGAGGAGTAGGACTTACTTAGGCATAAGGCCCCATCGCTCGAGGGCGCGGAGGTTGCGGTAGGCGGCGGCGGCGGCGGTAAGGCGCTTCTTAGCAGCCCCCCGCGCCTACCCGTGCGAGCCGGCCTTCTAAGCCGACGCCGCAGCGAGCAGGACGGGAGGCGCCGCCTTATAGGCGCGGCCGGCTCGCGCGCACTAGTAGCAGCTGCCGCCGCGGCGGCGCCCGGCCTAGTCGGAGCAGTCGAGCTCCTGCGACGTACAACGCACACAGGGGGCCGAGCGGGCGGCGCCGGCCTATACTTAGCGCTTATACTATAGGAGGTTAGCGGACAACGTCTATTACGCTTGCCTAACTGCGGACTTACGGGGGTGGCGGAGACGGAGGCGGGGGCCGAGGGGCCGGGCGTCACGGGTGGCGGCGGGGACGGCGTCGTTACCCTAAGGGGCGACGTAAGAGCGAACAGCGCAGTAGAGGCGGCGGCGGCGGCGGTGGGAGCGGTGGCAGCGGCGCGGGCAGGAGCGGCGGTAGCGGCGGAGTCGTCGTCGGCCGCGGCCAGCACGGCGTCGACGAACGACTCCGCACGCTCCGAGAAGGAGGAGGTAGGAGAGGGAGAGGCGGACATGTCTATCGCGGAAGTCAGCACGACGGAATACGGCCTCCCGCTCTATGAGGCGCGGAACTTACTAGTTGGAGTTGTTGTTGTTGTTAGGGCTATTGTTGCTATTGCCGCTGCTACTGCGAGCACACGTTAATAGAGCGGCCCGCACAGCTAGGATCGGACCAACGCCCCGGGTAGAGCGGAACTTACTTATTGATGCTGCTGCTGCGGTTAAAGAAGGGAGAGAAGGAAGGGAAGGGGGAAGGGGGGGATGCCGCCTTATATACCCCTTAGTAGAGGATGCTGCCTAAGGCAGAGGGGACGGGCAACCTAAGGCTCACGTAGGTCCGGACCAGCCGCCGGCCACCTAGGGGCGCATATAATAGGTTACGCCCCTATTTAAACGGCCAGCCGGCCAACGAGTGTGGAGCCGGGTCCCGGCTGCCCGGGCTAACGGGCGCGGGGATAATAGGGCTAGTAGGGCCGGCCCTATTAACGGGAAAGGGCAGGGAAGAGCCCGCGGCACGGGCCTAATTATACGGGAGCCGTTAATAGGGCAGCACTACGCCGCGCTTAAGGGAGGGCATTGTATAAGAGTCTTTGACTATTATGGGTGATGGGCTTAGGCCGCGGCCCAAGCCGTGTAGTCACGTGCGGAGGGCCGGATCCCGTAAGTATAGGGGCGGGCCAGCCGCGCATAGAAGAGCTCTGCATAGCTTGTTAATATCATCCTACGGACGGCACCTACGCGCACGCCTCTGCCTACTCCGTAACACTTAGTATTATTTAACTTTACGATTAAGTATTATATAAGTAAATTAAACCTAGTAAACGCGTTATTAATAATACCTAGATATAAAGGTAAGAAGCCCTTATTTATAGAACTATTACTAAAGCTATAAGTAAGGCTAGCTACGATTAATACTATATTTATATAAAGGGATAATAAGGCGTTTTTATAGGTAAAGAGATACTTAACCTTAAGTTAATATAAGTATAGTAAAGTACCTTTATATAAGGAAAATATATAAGCTTATTTATAGCGAAACTATAATAATTTAGGCGTAAGACCTAAATAATTAGCTAATTAAGCTAAAAAGGGAGCTAGTTATAAATAGTTACTTTTAAGGAAGACTATTAAAGAAGCGGCCTACTATATAAAGGTTTATATAGTAGAAGTTCTAGAACTACTACTAGAGTTATTAAAATATACTTAGTTAGTTAATATAGTACTTAGTAAGCTAAAAGAGACTAAAGACTTTTTAAAAGGGAAGGGTTTTTAATTAATATACCTAAATAAACTACTATTATAAAAGGGTTATATTATAGTGCTTTTAAAGGTAGCTTTATAGTAAGAGCTAATATAGCTCTTTTATAATAATCCGTTAGTAAGATACTTTAGCTCTTAATATATTAGCGAACTATTAGTAAGGAACTTTTACTAAGATAGAATAATAAAAGATATAAATAAATATATTTAGTTATACCTAGTATATTAAGGTATAGTATTTAAGAGGCATCGCTATTATAGTACTATATATCTTATAAAGAGAGATATAAGAAGTATATAAAAATATATAAAGGTAAAATTAAAAGTAAGGGGTTAGTATAACGACTAGTATTATTCCTAAGGGATAAACCTATTAAGGGGTTTATATTAGTAGATATAATAAGGCGTGGTCTAAGTAATAATAAGTATATTACGTTAGTAATAAGTTAGAGGTTATAAACTATAGACTATAACTAAGTAATTAGAATTAGAGATAGAATCGTAATAAAGATTTATATTAAAAGCTAAAGAGCTATCTATTTAAAAGAGTAAAAGTAGGTAGCTATATATACTTATAGAGACTATCCTTAGATTATAGTCCTAGCTATAATCCCTAATATTAAATCGTATAGAGCGTAGTAATCCTATTAATCCTAGATTACTTAGATCTCTATAATCCCCTCGATCTTATATCTATTAAATAGTTATACTAACTATTTATCCGTTAGACCGTATTATATACTTAACGCGGTCGACCGTTAGCGGCCTAGTAGCCGTAGTCGTAATATAATATCTCCCCTCCTTTTAGTCTTATCTATAAGACCTACTATAGCTGCCTTAGCCGCTATATATAAATATACCCTTATCGCGTTATACGTAAGTATATTATTCCTTATTTCTTTATCTTTTTAGGATATACTACTAATAGTATATCTAGTTATATACTAAAAAATCGTTCCTAAAAAGCCTCTAAGCGCGCTACTATTACTAAATATATCGACCTAAGCAGAGATCCTACTAATATACTATATACTTAATACTTTAAGGTAAAGAAGACGAATTATTAAATAGCAGAAAATTCTTCGCGCTATAATAATTATATTACTAGTAGTCGTCCTTATTATAATAGTGTTTTAATAGCTTCTTCTTATAGGTGTCTTTTAATTCTTTCTATATATAGTAGCTAATATATTTCTTTTAGTAACTAAATTATTAATAGAGTAGCGTAGGCTATATTTTAAAGAGGAGGAAGCTAGGGAAGCCTTATTAGAGCTTTAAGTATAGCTTACGAACCTTTAGTTATAAATATCTATCGCCGTTAATTATTTAGCTTATATTTAGAAGATTCGGAATTATATAAAGGAAAAGAGTTCTAAGTTATTTCGTCGTAGTATCTAAAAAGTAGATACTAAGGATAGCGTTTTACCTATGCTCGATATATATAAGTATTAAGTAGTAAATAACTTATAATCGTTAGGCGTTCTTAATAAGGTAAATTAGTCCTTATTTAGTATTAGTAAGGAGTTTATAGATCTTAGCCCTTTAATCCCTCTTAAACCTTTTAGTAAAATTATCGAAGTAGAGAGCTATAGTAGGTTAAGTGCTTAAGTAGTTCCTAGGTATTCTCTTCTAGTCTATATTCTTTCTATTTAATAAGGTATTCTTATTACTAACTTTATTTTCTTATATTTAGTATTTATTCGGCTTTATATTCCTAATTATTATTAACTTTAGTTTTATCTTATAGTACTAGTTTTAATAACGAGATATAAAATATTAAGTATATCTATATTATCGTTAGTAGCGAAAGTTTATAGTTAACTTTTAAAATAGTTTTCTTAACCTTAAACGGTCTAAGTTTCTTAAAATCTAATTTATTACTTAGTTATTTTATTTTAATATTTCGTTATATAAGGTAGACTATATCTCCTTCTTAAAAGATTAGTCCCTATAATCTTTTCTAATTATAGTAAGTAGATATTTATTCTCTAATAAATTAAAGTTCTTATTATATTTCTTTATATAATTTTATAGCTAATCTACTTATAGTATCGCTCGTTCCGCTTATAGTCTTTATTAAGTAACCTTAAATACTTCTAGGTTATATCTATAATTAGCGTATACTAGTAAGAGCTTAGTTATTTCTATAACTAAGCTATTATAAGCTAGTTATACTATTAGTAGCTATTTAACTTAATCGTTTTATTTATAGCTAATATAGTATTATAAATATTATTTAAGCGTTTAGTTAAGTCGTTCTATTTATCTATCTATTTATAGGTAATAAGCTATACTAAGCTTATATTTCGTCCCTTATTATACTATATAGAGCGTAGTAATCCTATTAATCTTAGATTACTTAGATCTCTATAATCCCTTTAATCCTATATCTATTAGATAGTCGTACTAACTATTTATTTATTAGACTATATTATATACTTAACGCGGTCGACCGTTAGCGGCTTAGTAGCTATAGTTATAATACGTATAATAACTAGTATTATTCCTAAGGGATAAACCTATCGAGGGGTTTATATTAGTAGATATAATAGGGCGTGGTCGTAATAGTTAGATAGGTAGGGCAGAGAGATTTAATTCTTATAAGAGTAGTAATAAAGGTAGGGGAGTAATTACTATATTGCCTTAATTATCCTTCTTTCCTCTATTTAATGCCCCTCTTTATACCTATTTAGTATATTAATTAATAAAGAAGATCTTACTTAAAGAAGCTACTAATATCCTTTTAACTACTAAGCTTTTTACTAGGTTTTCCCCTCCTTTCTAGCCGTTACTAGTATATCCGTCTTATCTCTCGCTACCTTTATAAGAAGCTATTGCTACTTCTACTTCCCTTTATACCCCTACCCTCCTTTTTATACCTCTTTTTAGCTCCTTCTTCCTTCTTCTATACCAGGTGTTTTTAGCTTCCTTAGTCCCTCTTACTAAGGGATATCTCCGAGAACTATAAAATTAAGCTACGCTTCGCGATATACCCCCTTAGCTATAGCCTACCCTTTAAGGGCATAGCTAATATAGCTTAGGGCTAGTAAGTATATAGAGGAGGTTCTTAGCTCTATACTTCTCCCTTTACTTAAGGAAAGCAAGGGCCCTTTTAGGTCCCTAAGCTCTTTTAGACCTACTTAAGGAAAAGGGGCCTAAAAAGGGGAAAGTCCTATAAGAAAGGGGGGCCTTCTTAGAAGGGAAAAACCTAATTAAATAAGGGGCCCTTTAAAGGGAAAAACTTCTTCCTTTTCTTTAGCTATAGACGTTACCTTCTCGTATATACTATTAGCTCCTCTCGTAGACTCTTAAGGCGGGCCTCTAAGGATAGCTTTTCTTAAACGTCTTCTAGCCTAATTTACTATAAAAAGATAGCTAGCTTCTACTTTAGTAAGGGCTTTATAAGACCGTCGGCTTTTATTAATACTATTAGAACCTAATAGACGGAAATAAGTCCCCTTTAGACCTCTTAGCGTAACTAATACTAATAGATATCGATATACTATAGCTAGGTCGATAACTTACTATTTTCTATAAGAATTCGTATAGTCTATATATTATTGTATTTTATAGCTAATAGGGTCGGAATTTATAGTCGTAATAATATTAATAGCTAGCTAAGGAAAATCGCTTCTTTTAACGCTTTTAAAAGAGCTAGTAGCTCTACCTCTATACTAAAAGTCGTAATAATAGCTTGCTTTAAAGCTCTCTAAGCAATAGTTCCTTTAAAAAGGGATACAATATACCCTTATAA